TGAAACTTAATTTTTGAAAGTCTAATTCCTGAAATTTTAGGTGGTCTGGTCTGTTTGGACCGCAACTCAATTCGTTTGACTATCGTCCCAAAAAGTGGGTAGAAAAAAATTTTCGCGAAACATCAGTCAGAAAAAGAGTTGATAGCTGACAATGGTGAACGAATTCCATCTGAAAAACTAAAAAATTTATTTTTTAAAAGAACTTCCGGAAAAAAAACATTGTGCCAGAATAATACAGAACTATTAAAAACCAATCAGTTTGGGATCGGATGTAAAAATCTATCGAAGTACAATCCATTGTTTCGGGAATCCAGACGAAGAATGTTAGCAGAAAGTGTTCGAGTGGATTCATTTACATCGATATCCGCATTTTCTCCACCCATATCAGTACGAACCCATCCAGGACAGAAAGAAACAACGAGAATGTTGTACTTTGAGAGTTCCATGTATGATTGACGAGAGAACGAGTTCAGAGCAGATTTGCTCATTCGGTACGCTGTCTGAAATTTTTCGATTTAAGATAGAATACGGTGAATGCATTAATTTATTACCATTGGTCCTGAAAAGCACCCATCATTCTTTTCAATCGAAGCCATAGTCGATGAAATGTTGATGATTGCTGCCCTATCAATTCTCACATCCTCTCCACTCACATTGCTCGATGCCTTTTTGAGAAGCCCAAGAAATGTTTGAGTCACAATCGCCACCGAAACAGAATTGGTCTCCAACTGTTTCAACATTGTCTTCCGACAAATTTGCCCATCGACTTCATATGGCAGCAGAATTCCAGCATTGTTGATCAGTACATTCAGTCCATTGGAAGACACCAATTCGGAAACTTCCTCGAAAACTTTCTTGATAGATTCATCATCATCCACATCCATCGCAATGATATATAGTCTTTTATCACCTTTCAGCTTGTTCAATTCTTCCGCTTTTTCCGGATTTCGACATGTGGCAATAAGAATTTCAATTGCATCATATTCCAGAAAATGTTGGACCAATCCCAAGCCAATACCTCGATTCGCGCCAGTCACCATGACAGTTTTAGGGATTCTTTGGGGCCTTGCTTCAACTTCTGGATCAGACTCATCCCGCATTCGGAGATTTCCTTTCAGCTCGTAATCTGGCATTTTGGAAAGTAAAGAGTAAAGAATGAAGATTAAGAATAGACAGTTGTGGTGATTTCTCTTCTCTGGTATCAGTTTTTATACCATTCGTGAACCGGGTATGTCCAGTTTTCGATTTTAATAACTTTGATAAGCGGATTGTATATGTTAAAACTGTAGAATTATGTCGTCAAATGTAAACTGATGTCTGTCCTTCCGAAAAAAGGCCAAAGCATAATGTTTCATCTAAACAGAGAGTGAAATCGAAAAGTCATTCGAGGGGAAACACATTTCTCTTTTTAAAGAATCGGTTGAAAAAGTTCAAAGGGCTTACCATACAAATGATATTACAGTATAGGAAGAGCCTTGAAGTTTGGTATTATCCTTGTCAGAGAAAAAAAAAGGTTGAGTCGAAGTGTATGCGAAGTTTGTAAACAAATATCTGAAAGC